GATAGCCTTCGTGTAGCTTTGCGCGAAATTCATAACAAACCAAACCAAACCCTAAACTATATTGTACTTTGTAACGTGTCTTTAAAATGAGCAAGCGCCTAACTTGTCTTCATCTACCATTTTAAGAAAAAAAATACAAAAAAAATATCGCGTTTTCCTAGTTCTTTTCTTTGTGTGTGTGTGTATATCGACCACTGATATTTTTGGCACTTATTTTTTTTAAGTCATTCCGAGTGTCGATGTTATAAGTTTGTTTTTATTCAGCGTTTTATAAGTTTCTAATCTACGAACTGTATTTGGTAAATTTAAGTTCTGTTTGTATGTTGTTAAGCGCAAAGCCCTCGGCGGGAATCGACCCCCAAATTCTTATGATTTAAGCTCCCAACCATACCGCTGAGCCGCCGAATTTAAATCAATATTAAATCTAAAACATGTTACTCTCCAATAAATTTGGTGTTGCCTTATCTTCATTATTTTGTACGCTAGCAACAGACGACGGAGGGAGTCTATGCTATCATTATGCAACATTTTTTAAAATAATTTTTAGTGACTGCCATTCGATTTGTTTTATTTTTGTTAGATTCGAACGCCAAACATGTGGCATTTCCCACAGGAGAATTGCATGTCCGGCACGCAGATTATGGTGATGGTGACGTAAGCTACAGGTGTCACGTGACAGACCGCCTTGCTAGACAGAGTTTCCAAAGCGCTACTTCAGGTCGATTGAATGTTATAGGTAAGGAGACTAATTTCTAAATTAAATTAAATAAACAATCCAGTAATTATATTAATATTTAGGTAAATGCAATTTCTAAAATCAATGTAGAATTACTGTGCTATTTCTCTAATTAATTAAATAGAATAATATTTGTAGCAAATATTAAATTTTTTCATCATATACATTCACAGAGACATGGCACCGCCTAGTGGTGGTGGTGGTGGGGGGGAGGCATCCGGGTAACTTGTCCTGGACATTCAGGGGAGCCCGAACAATTTTTACTAGGTGGTTCAATGTTTCTCGTGTTCTCGTGTATAAAACACAATAGCCCAGAGGGAAAGGGACGACCAAACAAAATAGTTTTCCCGAAGATTTCTGTCAGTAGCGCTACAACAACACTTAGATACAGATTACCTATCGCCATTAGAACCAGCTGTATGTGAAATTATGTGTAGTAATAGAGATGTCTGCTAAAGTAGAATTTCCACAGCTTATCAGATTTCACCTCTATTCGTAAACCTCATATGTGAAATTAAAAACAAATTCGGGGGAGCTTTGGTTACTCAATGCTACACGCATCCTACTTGCAAAACAGCAAACCACTGTTAGCTTCCATTTGTAAGAAGATACTTGCTTTTAATAGAACACAAGATAAAAACAATATACTCAAAAAAAAAAGCACCGGGTAGAATGAGTAAAAGCTTGTACCCTGAAATTGGCATTCCCGGAATCTCCATAATGGCTATATATCTGTTTAACCAGCGTAATGAAACTTAAGCTGACTAAATCAATATCGATTAAAGAGGAGAGTTTGAAACTAATCTTCAAATGCCATCCCTGACAGCACACTCTTGAAACAGGCGCTCAGTTATTTGGTTTTTTAATCTGTGTAGCATCTTGTATGTCACATGCACAAAACGACCAGCCATTCCAAATTTAGAAATGCTACCAGAGGGAAAGCAATCTGTCACAGCACCCGTCGACTACATGGTTATTCTTAGCCGAACAGCTGGCTTAACTGCAACTTTTATAACGCGCTCGCAGCTGAAAGTGCGTAACATGTTCAACGGCATATCGCGGTTCGAACCTTGAATTTTCCGATACGTAGTCCGGCATGCTAACCATTAGCCAAGCCCACCCCAACTCTAAATTTCATAAACGATCTACAAAAAATGGGGTGATGAAATTAGCGTTTATTTGAATATGAAGTGCATATTTTTACGCTGGCATGTGGCATTGTCATTTGTTTATTAACTCTTTATTGTGCTGAGTTTTTATTATCTTGTTTCACAATTATTATTTATGCTGATTTTTCTTAACCGTGTTACAAGTCTGGGAGATAGGGGATCAATTTTTATGCAGTATTTTGGTTGACGCAAGTTAACGTTAATTGATGCGCAAGGTGTGGAATTCCTGTATAGTGAACAGTAGATATTTTTCGAATTTTTTTTTAAGTTTGTAGTTTTAAGCTATTTAAGCGAGTACGAGTCAGAGAATAATGAAGAATGCAGAGCTATTCAGTATTCAAAGACAGTCAGAGTTATTCAAAAGGTTTCGTAGCGAAGATGAAATTAAAGTAGGTACAGTTAGAACCATGATTCTATCACTGCGCGAAGCCTCTACCCCGATGGGCCAGCGATGAGCTAGAGGCTGCTGTTCTCCCTTGATCGGTGTTTAGGTCTTACAGACCTGGGAGGGTCAGGTACAAATGACCTCCCCTTCCCCCCGGAAGATGGTATCTGTTTCAGGTGAATACGAATTTACATACTAAACTTACTCCGACCCCTTTCAGGTCAATGTCCATGTAGGTACTTATATTTATATTCGTGTGAATAAATGCAATATATCTTTATTATTTGTTGCAAAGTCCTGCACATGGCGAACAGTTCCTTATGTATTTTTCATATACATTAATTTTACACTTATCGAGAGTATTTACATAAATACCCTTTTAATGCTGTCGTATCAGTTTAAAACTAATGTGGGTTTCTTAGTCTAGCATTATGTGGTCTTATTATATATATATATATATTGTTACGACAGCGGAAGTCACGTGACTCTGGTGACACGTCATGAGATTCTCGAAGGATCTGACTTTTCCTGGCGACTCTAGTCGTTTCTAGGCGCTCTCTAATTTAGTATATAAGCCAGGCAAATAAAGCGGAGAGATGAAATTGCAGATAGGGAGATATAGAGACAGATAATTTAGTCAAGTCGTAAGTAAAGTACGTGAATCGTTTTGAATTATAGCGTGTGTTTAAGTTAAAGTG